CTCGCTACGATGAATTTTCACTGAGTTATTGCTATTTGAAAATATTAAAAATTAGTGCTAAATTTTAAGTGGCCCGTTTTTTTTGCGTATGAGTGTATTTAATGTGATAGTGCAATGCTTTAATAAATGAATTGTGATTACATGACAGACTAATTATTTATATTTTTTAGGTATCGAGATCTCGAAATAGGTGAACTTATGACTCGTTCTAAGTCTCGCATGTCCGTTGCTTCAGGCATAGAAGATTTATATTATAATTCTAGAGTGAAATTCAGTGAGGCGGATAGTTCTCACATATTAATCTGAAAATTAATCCAAATGTCCTGATATAGATACATGATTTAACTTTTCAAAGATACCTATATTTTATATTATCTTGACATTATATTTAATGCAAAAAATGTTTGCTACTATTTACAAAGATATGCCTGCTTAAACAGATTTTATTATATGTATTATAAACTGTTTTGACCTCATAGGGCCAGTCTTACCAATTCCAATTACTGTAATCGACCGATTGTTATTTTATAACTAACCAATCGCGTTTGCTATTCAACAGAATTGATCAATTGTGGTTGACACTTGATCGATTAGGTTAATCAGAGTTTGTGAGATCGGTCCATAGTCAAAATTTTAGTTTTATTTTTTTACATATTTTTTTATATATATATATGAATTTATTTACAAGAATTGACTTTACACTCTGATACATGTAATGCTACAAAATAATAGTATATTTATATTAATAGTAAGTTTATTTAGATCTCTTTTATCATGTGATAGGCTTCAGGCAGTCAAAATAGTGTGTAATGTGTGTGGTTAAATGTAACATTATTTTTATGATAGCTCAGGTCTTTCGTAGTCTTTATATTGTTAATATCAATTAATAAAAAGTGTTGTATGAAAGAAACCAAACAATTTAGAATGCGTTCCACTTGACATTCATGGAATCGTCTCATCCTTGTTATATATTAAATATTGAACAAGGACAACTAATGCTCGCGAGCGTTGTAAGCGCCAAATAGTACGCATTTTTAGAATAAGGGATGAATTATATATAATCTGCGATAGAACAACTTTTTCTTATTTATTGTGTATAACATATTGTGCAATAAGTATAGACATATTTGACTTCTGCATATATCTTTCACTTTCTTTAAAGAGTACTCAAACATATGCATTATGTACAGTCAGCAACTAAAAGGTTGCAATTTTTGACATTTTCTTTTCAACTGGTTTCAGAATGCAACCTGTTTACCGTGTAATTGGTTCTTATTTATGGATCCATAAGCTTGGGAATATAGGCTGCATTCCGAAACCCATTAAAAAAGTGTTCCAATCTTTTAGTTGCTGACTGTATATTCTATGTTGTCTCTTATTTTTTTATTGTACCTCTCATCCATTTGTTATTAACTTATCACATTTATATTAACATAAAATGTTTTATTATATCAACAACATGCATGACTTATAGCTATCAACTACAATATCTTCTAATTTTCTCGTGATAAAATAAATTGAATCTTGTAGATTATCGTATAGTGATTTACTTGAAAATACTTTCCTTATATAATCCAATTCCTCATTCAATAAGAAACTAAATACTTCCGCTTGATTTTAATGTTTGACGTCAGAATCGCAATATCACAGTAAGTAGTTTCGGCAAATCTTTGGATTAGGGGATTCCCCCAATGACTTTAACCTATGTTGTCAAGATCATGACTCTGAGTGACCTCCAACGAATTTTAGCCATCGCTTATACTTTATTATAAAGTTATTTAAAAAGTTTGAAAAAATAACGTCTTATTTCGGCTATATATAACATCAGAAACTGTTCTAAACTATATCCAGGCCTCAAACTCCCATGTAATTTGTTGTACCACCGTTGATTGTGGTGCCATCTGATATGAGTCCGCCAAAAAGAAGGAAAAATCAATATGCCATACCTGTCGTTCACTGTTATAAATGATCGTGCAGTTTCTTGTATTAAATGTTCTTAAAGTTTGGCAATGCATAATTGGTGTTAAAAATGCTTCCACATTTAAATAGTTTCGCAATATCTTTTGTATGTCAATTTCATGGCAAAATGAAGCAAAAGATACTTCTGCAAAGTCAATCGCTTGTTGTATACTTTGTAAAATTGGTTCACTATTAATTTGTTCAATACACTCCGAACATTCTAATAAACATTTGACACCAATTATGTTTGCTATTATTTTCTCACTATCTATAATTAAATCTTTTGACAATATTTAGGATATGGCAGCTTCGGCACAATCAATATTTTTATCTATTTCTTCTGCCATAGTTATTTCATAAGGGCGAAACATTTTCAATAATGCTAGAGACGATGCTTCTTTTTTTCTTTCAAAATTTGCTGATATTAGGTTTGTCGCGTCGCAGGCTCCAACATACTCCTACGATAGCTCCTATTCACTCTATCAAGCGCGTTGGAGTGAGTAGGAGCTATGGTAGGAGCATATTGGAACATATTGGAGCATGCGACGCGAACAAACCCATTGAGTGACAAGGGGTGCGGTCCACTTGGCGCTACAAATGGTTCGAATCGTTTGGAACGTTGTTTTAACCGGTCCACATGGTGCTTCAAATGTGTCCCAATAGCACGTATGACGTCATTAATACAGGTTTACACTTCCACCTTATTTCCAATTGCTTCCAATGCTACTGCTTGGAGAGGTAGTTTAACTGAAGCGTTTAGTTTGAATATACAAAGCGCGGAAAAGCATAATAAACGAACGAAAGTATATCTGTAAAGCCAGAGAGGAACCTGAGAGAGGCAATGCCGACCTAAAACCTGTAACCACGAAATACTGCCGCGCACTATTGCCCTCTGAAAAGGTGGATGTAAACTAAATAGCTCTGAGGGTA